ATGGAGATTGATTTTGGAATTTAGATGCACTCTTATTGATTGTGCTTGGCTGTACAAGCCTTTTTCATCTTTATCTTGTTTTGCTTAAATCTTTCTCTGTTAAACTTGTTCTAGTAGGAGAAGAAGAGATGCCATTTTATTATTTAAGGGAAACTAGTGTTCCATCAAATTTCTTCTGTAGATCAATTTTGTAGTTTTATGTCAGGAGGAAAATTGCCCATCATTAAGTTAGTTACCAATAACAACAGACATTGTGGAATAAATGGGAAATGAACCATTTTCAATTATTAACAGTTATTTAAGGTCTAATACACCTGACACCTTATACAGTGCTTCGCATGTAATAAGTTTTCACAGTTGAAATAAGAGGGAGTAGGAAAGTAGTGTGCAAATGTTGGTAGCCTGAAATTCCAGCATAAGTAAGGAACCTTGTCCAGTATTTACCATGCTCAGTGTACCATTTTGTTGGCAAATACCATATGTACATGTTGTTCCTAGGTGGTTCTGTATCCATACTTTTAACACTTTGCAATCTGATTTCTACTTTTACCACTTTACAGGAAGTGTTCTGGTCATCAGTGACCTGAGAATACCTTCCAGTCAGTCCTTTTCAACAACAGCATAAATGAAATTTTAAGAGATTAGCATTTTTTCTTAAACAGAGAGCGTCAGTCTTTCCAAGCTAGTAGTAAGTTGTAATAGTAATAAAGTATTCTATGTGTTTAAAATACAGATTCAAATTTGGGAAACTTTAGACCTAATTTATCTTGGGAGAATTCTAGAAGAAGTTTTGGTGATTTACAGCTTTTAGTAGTGTTGATCCAGCAGCATTTACCAAACTTTTTTTTCCCCAGGAGAATTTGTGGTGGTTTACACTGATGGCTGCTGCTCTAGCAATGGACGGAAAAGGGCGCGAGCAGGAATTGGTGTTTATTGGGGGCCAGACCATCCTTTGTAAGTAAAACCAATAAAGTTAAATTTTTTTAAGCTTTATATTTTATTGAATCATACTTCAAAACTTGTGAGAAGATGAGACCTGATATGCATATTGTTTGGTTATTTGAAGGACTAGCCAGATAAACACCATTTGCAAAGGTTGCAGAAAAACTGAGCTTTGATTCGTGTTGATGCTGAACAGGTTTGTTATTCAAAATGTTAAGTGACTTTAGGATCTCTGGTGGCCCATACAGAGGTGCCAACCCAAAGACATTTCAAATCCACAAGCAGCTCCACATGAGAAAGATGGAACATCTCTTCTTGTGCCATTGCCAGCCTCAGAAACCTGCTGGAGGCCGAGCTATAAGTTGGTTCTGACTCCACAGCAATGAGTTCGTTTTTCAGAGTTTTTCTACTCTAAAACTTGCCAAAGTTTTACTTACTGCTAAAATTTTACACCAAAATTATGTAACTGCCTCCTTGAAAGAGCACAGGGCACACTGGGAAATTCTTTTGCAGTGGTACACCATAGGGCAGATCACTGAACTTGGAACCTGCTCTATCAATAAGGGTTTAGCCATGATTCTTCTAAAAACATGGGAGTTTAGATGTAATCCTTTTATTTTTCAAAAGGCATAAAATCAAGGGAATGTGAAATGCAATCAATTATTCAAATAATCTAGCCTCTGAATATTAAAGAACTTGACTAGTAAATGACCACTAGGATTAAATGTAGAACACAGGTTTGTCTCCTCTAAAGTCTTATACCAATCCTGAGCTCTGAGCTTTGTTTTCTAAGATAAATGGACGCTCATGATATTGCTAGACATATTTTCTATTATCCAGTAGTAATGTTATTGTTTGGTTCTCACTCTTACTGACTCTCTTTATAACAGAAAGAAATGGTGCCGTCCTCACAATTACTGCCATATTTGGGCCCATTTTTGCAACCATTATGTCAATCTCATTGAGGGCCTTCCTCTTTTTTGATGACTTTCTACCATGCATGATGTCTTTCTCCTCATAACTGCCTCATTGCGAGGATCATTTTAGTTGACCTTCTTCCAAGACAAATTTGTTAGTTCTGCTGCAGTCCATAGTATAGTCAGTATTCTTAACTAATACTGTAATTCAATTAGTTTTACTTTCTTCTTCCCTGTTTGGCCCACCTTTTGCATCTAAGGCAATTGAAAATACCATGGCTTGGGTCAGACACATGTTAATCATCAAAGTCACATCTTTGCTTTTTAGCCACTTAGGTTCAGTTTTATAGTTAGGAAGATAAGCTTTATCTTCATTTAACTTCACACTTCCTGAGGATGGGTGAGCACATATTTTCACTATTTTATAGGTAGCTGACTAAGTGTCAATGGGTTTTAGTGACTTGCCCAAGACCCCATAGCTGATATACTTCAGATTTAAGACTTAAACCTAGATCTTTTGATTTCTGATCCAGTGTTCTTTCTACTATACTATGCCATGGTACTTTTTCGTAAAATACTAGTTTCATTAATTTTGTTGATTTTTTTTTTAAGGTTGTACTTTTATATAGTATATTTATTTCAAGTAAATGTATACTATACAGTTATTACTTGTGAAGAACAATAAGGAATTACTTGTGAACTGCTTGATTATTTATTTCCATTTCTTTGAGACAGAAATGTAGGCATTAGACTTTCTGGGCGACAGACAAACCAAAGAGCAGAAATTCATGTAAGTTGTTAGATATATTTTTCTATTAAAAATTTTAAGTTAATCACCTGTTAGCATTTACTGTGAGGTACCAAATATTTTTATACTCTCTGTATATGAAATTGTCAAAGTTCAGAGGAAGCATTAGTTGGGGTAATTAACAACTCTGAAAGTTAAAAATTTCCTGAAAAGCTGCAAAACTTACTGTAAATTTACATTTAAGTGAGAAATTACATATTTAACATTTCATATAGAGAAATAATTATAGCTAATAGAGAATAGAAAGAGTGATTACATTTTGAAGTTGTGTTAAAAGCTGAACAATTCAGAATGATTATCATCTTTTCTTTTCCTTTAAGGCAGCCTGCAAAGCCATTGAACAAGCAAAAACTCAAGACATAACTAAGTTGGTTCTATATACAGACAGTATGTTTACTATAAATGGTAAGTGTTTACCTTTATTTCTTCTTGTGTTATCCTCCAGTAAATATTAAGGAAAA